ACAGTCCTTAAGTTTTTAAATGAAGTACAGTACACTGTATATTGGATATTTCAAGTAAATTTTTGTTTATTTCTTTTTATTATATTGTTCTTTCAAAGAGGAAAAATAACTTTTTCATTTATTGAATATACTTATTTGATGGTTATTCTGGTTGATAGCTAATTTAAGAATATTTTTTATAAAGATATAAATGAATGCACAATAAATAATGGTGGCTGTAAACGACAATGTACAAATTATCCTGGTTCCTTTAAATGTTCTTGCATTTCTGGGGAAATATTAAGTTCGGACGGACGATCTTGTGAAAGTAAGAAATTTTGTAATTTTATCCTAGACATAATACAGTCAACTTGCCTTAAAATGAACAAATGACTCAATAAAGCAAATTTTGCCACAGTATTAATTTTCATACAATAAAGTGAACAAAAATTTTATCAGAATTCATTAAACCAAACTGTAAATTACCTTTTCAACTCCTAAGAAATAATCCTATTTCAATGGTTGCTTTTTACACTTTTCAACATGAACAATAAAAAGTGGTAGTGTACTAAATGTTCCATTTTGAGTAGAAAAGATTTTCTTCTCCTAGTAAGCAAAGATAGATTTGACCTTCAATTGTAGAGTAAATCAACTATCTGGTTTTAGTGGACATTTCTACTGTACTTATAAAATAGGGGTTAAGTTTAGATATTCTCACCACTTTCAATGAATATAATCCCATGTAAACATAATGCTCATTTGCATATCAGGGAGTGCACAAAGTAATGCCAAGTTTGGCTACTTTGCACCAAATTTAGCTCTTTTTTTACTCTTTTGTCAGCAAAAAATATTTTCTACTTTTTTAAACAATCTTCAGTAGAAAAAAATCACAGATTTCTTTTAACCTTATTTTGTTTAACCACTCTAATATACTGCTCCATACTTAAACAGCAAGTACTAATCTCCTCCTCATTTAGTTGATTTGAAAATTATTTAGAACATTAAATTGTTTTTATAAATAAATTTAACTTTATTTAGTAAATTAATTCAAAATATTTTAATTCAGAGATTTCAATTGCTTATTAAGCCTTAACTCTCTAAATTTTACAACCTTAATCTTGATCCTGAAAATCGTTAATACAAATTTTCGATAGACAAACTTAACTACTATTCCCATAACAATTCACATTAATGCAAGTTGACTGTAATTGTATTTACCTATTAATATTTCAGTTTTTAATGTATTTAAAATAATTAATCCATAAATAAAGTTTAGTAACTAACAAAGTGTTAATATATTACTAAATTTATAAACTAGTGAGAAGGAAAAATATATTTATTGATTATTATTTTTATTATTATTATTTAAATTTCAAATAGTACCTTTTTTAAATTAAAAAGGTACTGTTTGAAATTTGTGTTTTTTTCTATTTTTATTCAGAAATGAAAAAGTGTGAAGTTAACAATGGAGGATGTGAACAAATATGCACAACATTACATAATAATAAGATTTTATGCAGCTGTTATAATGGATATTTACTGTCAGAAAATGAAAAAAGTTGTATTGGTATTAATAATTAATTATTTTACATAAAATTAAATTTATGTTAGAATAAATATCTTAAAGTTTAATTTCAAATAATAAATTTTATTTAGATAAAAATGAATGCAGTAATCTGAATGGTGGATGTCAACATAATTGTAGTAATTCTCCTGGATCATACTATTGCACTTGTATGGAAGGTTATCAAATATCAGAAGAAAATAAATTTGCTTGTAAACGTAAGACTGTATTTTAATTAAAATGAATTTTTAATTGATTTTATTATGTATATAGCCCTAAAGAAAAGTTTATTTCTTTCTCAAAATATAAAAAATATACTAAGTCTCATTCAACTTTTTAAAGCAGCAAAAAACTTTCATAACTAATGTTTTCAAATAAAAAATACAAGTATAATGTGTTCTTCAGACATATATGTAAAAAAATGCACTTAAGAAAGTTTACCATAAATTTTGAGATAATAATAATAACAACAACAAAATAAAACACACAGTTAAAGCAATAAACATATATCATCCAAGTACTCCCATTTTCTTTTGGAGTTATACATTGGACTCACACAGATCTTAAGCAACTCCAAAGGAAAACAAGAACAACACTTACTAAGCATAAACATCATCCTAAATCTGCCGTAAATAGATTAACCCTTCCATGTAAAGATGGTGGACATGGCCTGATTGACATAGTAAACCTTCACTACAAACAAATACAGACACTGCAAGAGTTTTTCTACAAAAAACATAAAGCAATAACTCTAGCAGACTCAAATAACAAACCATTAAACTTACATTTGCATCATATGGACAAGACAGAACACATAAATAGCACAGACACCATTAAATTAAGCAATCTTTGGGTTCAGTGGATTCAAAAGGCACTCTATGGCAGACACCCCTATGACCCAGCCCAGGATTTTGTTGACAAAACTGCTCAAATAGCTTGTTAGCTTGGAGATGCCTCTTTGGGGAGACAGAAAGGTTTATGATTGCCATACAGGATCAGGTCATAAATACTAAAAATTACAGAAAACATGTACTGAAAGATATAACACTCAAATGACACATGTCGAAAATGTCACATCATGCCAGGAACTATGCAACACATCACTTCTGGTTGCATGCTCTTGGCACAGACAGATTATTTACATAGACATAATCAAGTAGCAAATATTGCTTGCAAACAAACTCAAATTATTAGACATCCACGAACCATACTACAAATACGTTTCACAGACACTATTGGAAAACAACACATACAAAATGTACTATGACAGAGCCATAATCACAGATAAAACAATTTTACTACAACAGATCAGACATCACACTCAGGTGGATTTACATAGGGACTAATAGGGCTTAAGCCCTGGGCCCCCAAGTGTCAAGGGCCCACAAAAATTGAATTATTATAAATTTTTAATATTTTTTCATTAACAATGAGCACTTATCATATAGTAAAAAATAGCTATTATTAATAATATAATAATAATGATAATTTATAGTATTATTTGTTTTATTGTAATCAATGTAGCCTAATTGATCAGTAATTAATCAATGTAAATATTTCATTTCTTGCTTTTTATATGAGATATAAAGTTTGTCATTCAACACCATTTCATAAATAAATATGTTTCAACTCTGATTTTGATGTTATTAATTAAAAATGAATTTTAAACCTCAATTTAAAGATTTTTAATCTAACAAAAAATGGGGCCCCATTGGTCTTTAATAAGTCCTAGGCCCTGAAAAACCTAGATTTGCCCCTGACTACATTCATTGACAAACACAATAAAATCACATACATTATAGACATATCCATTCCAAACACTCACAATGTACTGAAAAAATCAGCAAGTACACAGAACTCGCCCAGGAAATAAGGCATCTGTGGAGGATGGATAAAGTGCTTATTGTATCTGTTGTTCTCTCCTCTACAAGTGTCATACCACACACACTACAGAAAAGCCTGGGAACATTATAATTGAATAGAAACATATACATCACACTACAAAAGGTCACTATGTTGAATACATGCCATATTGTTAGGAAATTCCTGAATACAGACACAGACACTGACACACTTATTTAAGTTTTGTTTTGTTTTGGTTGCTATGCCTTGACTCTGGTCCAGCATAGTACTGTATATACCAACTGGTATAACTCACTAAACTCAACTTAATAATAAATTTTCACTTGAATAATGACTACTGGTTGTGTAGAATTCAGTGCTGTGGAGTTGGAGTCATGGAGTTTTGGTATTTTAGTCAGAATCATCAAAAATCGACAGACTCTGACTGCTTTTTACTTTCCCAACTTGTTATGTATATAACATGGAAAAGTATTGTAATCCTGTCAAAGCTGACACTCTGAGTTTTTGCAAATCTACATGTTTGGAGAACTCCTGAACCTAAAAAATGTCAAATAAAGGGGGAAGAAATTTATCAATGCTTTTTGGCAAATTTGTTTAATTAATTTATTTTCTGTCTTATTTTGAGATATTGTTTAATATTTCAGAATGGGTAAAGTTTAAGAAATGAAATTTGGCATTAATACTATTAAATTTTGGTTTTTAATTAAAGGTCAACAGGGTGGAGACAAATCTTTTGCATATCTTGACATTTCAAGGATCTTGAGTTCTTAAATGTAAAAATTTGCAGGGGGGTCATTTTTTTGACTGATTGCTACATTTTCCTGTCATTCTATGTAAAAGACTCCTTTAAGTAATGACTATGTCATTACTTAGAGGAGTAGTCTTAAGTAATGACTATGTCATTACTTAGAAGAGTCTTTTAACTTTGAAATAAAAAGTTTCTATGTTCTATCTTTATTAGAACTCTACTTTTTGAAGCTTTTATTTTGAAGTCACGTGATGACATTAGAATTCCCGAGCCTATTTTGTTAACAAGTTTGTCCCTGGTTGGAGTTGAATCATAAATCAAATCAAATCAAATCAAATTTATTAAACATAATAGGCCATAGCCTGTTATAACAGGGTGTTAGATTTACATTATATCAAATTTATTTATATCGATATTAATGATAATCATCCTGTAAATGCAATACCTATGCATATCAGATTTGTTACATAAAAGATTAGAAAGGCTGATTACAAAAACTTTTTGCGAAATTATACAATTGGTATATCATTGTAGTGTTTGCTAAATGAAATAACCAATACATTTGATTTTCCTCCTTAAAGGTATTTAGCTGATTTAGTTCACCATTAATTCTTAGTTTCTGGCCTTCCTTGCATTCACAAAACATATGAAATTTAGTCAATATTTCTTTCATCTTGGACAGTATGTTTTCAAGAATTCATAAATTTTATTATTTACCATAATCATCTTTTTATTTAATCTAAGTTGGATATAGAATTTCTTGATTACAAACAGTATATTTGATAACATGTAGTTATTACTAAAAACTTAAATCAGAATAATGCTGTACCACTCTGGTTCTTTCCAGTTGTACATTTCTCCAATGTCTTGAGATAGAGCAAGAGTTGGATCATAAGGCAGAGTTGGAGTTGGTAGATTTTCAAACAACTCCACAGCTCTTGTAGAATTACTCAATAAAAAAATTATCTAGAAATTATTTGAAGATATTATAGTACCATATGTTTTTGGAGTACTAATGATTATTTGATATTGAGGAATTTTATTATCAGCTCTACAATAGAATTTGTATAAATTTTTAATTTCATTTAGTAATCAAATTATGTGGTTATTCAATAGTGGATCCAGAAATCTTTATACAGGGATACAGAAAGGAAACAATATACTTTACAAAATTTTTTACTGCCTGAGATACTTGGCTTTACTCAGGAAAAAACCTCCTAAATCTGTTCCTGGAAATATTTATATATCAGTAAATTAAAATAATAATATAATTTTTTTTTTTTCAAGTTTTCTGTGTAAAATACTAATGACATAAAATAAGACATATTAGTTTAAATAATATTTTATTTAATTATGAAACATTGATAGATAAACTAATATTTTAATTTATAATAATGCACATAAGAAAGTAACTATTTATAAATAATAATTTAAAAAAGAACAAGCAATAAAATAATAGAACATAAATGTGTAGACAATAATACTCAATGAGTGAAAACATCATTCATATTTAGAGGCATATTAATTATAATGCTTTGCAAATTTGTGAATATTATTAATAATTACAATTAGTTAGTTACTAATAAATTAATGTTTCATAGTAATGTAATAGTACTTAAATTAATGTTTTTAAATGATCTTAAAATAAATTTAAATTAAAAAACAATTCAATAATAAATTTTAGAAAGAATTTTAGCTAAATATATGATTAACAAGAGTGATTTTATCACTTATGTTAGTAATAACAATATTAAATTAAACATATATAACAAGATATAGCATTACATTTTTTATTTTTATTTTGATGCATTTATTTCTCTCATTTTCATCCTAATCAAATATTTGTATTGTTATTACATGCAATCATGTAATAATTATATAAATGATCAAATTTTATAAGTATAAATCTAAATTAGCAAAAATTAAAGTCAGAATTTGTGCTTACCAGACATGGAAAATTGTAACCTCCTAACAGGAATCATGAGCACATGAATTGGGGAGTGAGAGTAACTTCCCTCTCAAATTTGGGTAAAGCAAGAATAAAAAACATCTGACAAAGAAAGCAAAACAGGTTAACAAATTATTAGTGATGAAAAATAAAAAATTGGTATTGTGTTCTTATCTGTATAACATTTCATTCAAATTAACCCTTTTTGCCCCCTTAATCAAAGTGTCCCCATATGCCCATGAGGACAGAATCAGCAATACTTAAATCATTAATACTGTCAAGTTGGGAGGTTAAATTAGCAGTTTGGTTTATTTCTTTAGTTTTATTTATTTGATCTATTTAATTAATAGCTAAACAATTAAATAAAAATAAAATATATATGTTCATTTTTTAAATGAATAGGGACAAATATATAAATATATAAATAGTACAAATCTATTTTCTTTACTGTTGAATATATTATTATATGCTATGACTGAGTAGGCTTTTAAAAATGATTTTATTCATTTGTATTTTATTGTATTTACATTCTAGCAATTTGCAATCCACCTTGTTTGAATCATGGTATGTGCATTGCTCCTAATAAGTGCAGTTGTCCACCTGGTTATCCTGGTCCAAGTTGTTCTGGTGAGCATTATTATTAAAGAATTTAAAATTTTTTACATTAATTTACATAGTAAAGAAATTGAAAGAATTGATTTTTGTTTAGCTTTTTGTAATCCTCCATGTTTAAATGGAGGAACCTGTGGAAGATGGGGTCGTTGCTTGTGTCCTGCAAATTTCTTTGGAACAAGTTGTGCAAGTGGTATGATGTATTTAAGGTATTTTAAATTATCTATAAATGCATAGGTTTTATGTTAGGTAAAATATCTGGTAAAATTTTTTTTATGTAAGCTGTATGTGTACCGTCTTGTCAAAATGGAGGTAAATGTGTGCCACCAGGTGTTTGTAAATGTCCTCCTCAATATATTGGTAAACAGTGCCAAAACTGTAAGTGTAATATATTTCAATACTATTAATGTTATTATCAATCTGTAAATATAATTAAAATGTACTTTTTAAAATTTTTAAATATGGTATTATCTGGAAAAGTAATTTTGGTTTAAGAATTTATTAAAACAGTTATTAGTTAGAAACTGACAGTGTTTTGAATTTTAAAACTTTAAATTATGGTAATTATAAAGTATATTTATAAAATTATAGAAAAACACAGTAACAACATATTTATATATTAATAATTTCTTCCTGTTTTAAAGCATTTATCATTATTTTATTGAAAAATTTTCGTTTGCTGTATTAGTTCGATGTACACCTCCATGTGAAAATGGTGGTACTTGCAGAGGTATCAATACTTGTTTATGTCCTAAAGGTTATGGAGGAGGAAGATGTCAAAAAGGTATATGGAAATTTAATTTTGAATTTTATCATTAAGAATTTAAAATATATTTAATAATTAATTTATTTAATTATTATATTAATTATTTTAATATGGTAATACATAAACTTAATTGTTTTGAAATAATTTGAAATAGACACAGTCTATATGTCTATACTTAAAATATATATTTTCTATTGATATAATGTATGTAATAATAATATGATTAATATTTTATTTACTTCATATAGATAATTTCTAATATTATAAATCAATTTAATGAAATTTTAATAATATATTTTACAACATAACAGAATTAATATTTTTTTAACTTGTGAAATGTTATTAAAATAATTGCATTTATATTCTATCAGAATTGTATCATTTCATGAGTAATAAAGTTTTTTTAATTAAATTTTTCTGTGTTATTAATTTTAAAAATGATATTTGGCTTTCAGTTTTTTATCAGTGTATTCCTGCATGTCAAAATGGTGGAACTTGTGTAGGAAGAAATAAATGTCAGTGTATGCCTGGATATACAGGAAGCTTTTGCGAAAAAATGGAACAGATTGAATGTCGGCCACCATGCCAAAATGGGGGAATGTGTGTGCCTAATAATGTATGTAAATGTCAAAATGGAACATCTGGATATAGATGTCAACAAAGGTAAATAATTTTTTAAAGTAAGAATTAAGAAAAGACAATTTTTTAGAAATTATTATTGTTACTGAATAGAAATATTGAATTATTTAAGAAAGAAATAATTTAACATATTAAGATTTGATATTTTATTTAAAAAATAATGATGGTAATCTTTTTAAAGGAATTGTCCAATAGTAACTTTTACCGAAAAAGTGATGAAAGGAATGAGAGTGCCAAAAACGGTATCATATAAAGCACCCTGTGGAAGATTTGGATGGCAAACTTGTGTATCATACAGGTAAGAGATATATTTTTTTAAATTAAATATTTAATAAAAATAAGTAGTACATTATGTTATAACAATAAATAAAACTTTAAGAATAAAACTTAAATTTATATATGAAACAAACTCATATTTTAATTAAAAATAATAATATTACAAATTAAATTCAATTTAAATAATTGTTATAAAAATTATTACATAATTGATTTTTATATAAATATATTTTTTACAGGACAGTACAAAAATATGTGTATAGAACAACATATAAAGTGGGCTACAAAATTCAATGTAATAGTGTTTCAACTGTTAATTAGTATATAATCTGAATTAATCTTCGTTTATAACAATTTATTATTGAACGCTTCCAAGAAATTATATGCATAATAATACATTATTAAAATTATGTTCCTATTTTATTCCAGTTATAAATAGAATAGTTTAAAATGTAAAACTATAAATATACAAAATCAAAATTTTTTACATTTCATTAATTATACAAGCTTATAATCAAATAAAATTTAATTAATGCCATTAAAATTTATAATTATAATTGAGTTTGATGCATTTTTTGTAGAAAGTAATTTATTTTTTATTTTATAATACATTTAAAATTGATAATGATTATTACCTTTTTTTAATTTCACAGAATATTTTTATCATTTTGCATAATCAATTGAAAATGTCAAAAAGAGATCATTAATGTTAGTAATTATTTGTTGGGAATGATCATAAAAAATGCATGAAACTGTTTTAATAATGAATTATCATTAATAATGAAACAGTTTGCCTCTTGACAGAAAAAAAAATTATAGAAAGAAAGTACTTAATGATTAATTAATTAAATAGATTTGTTTTACAAAAATGCATTTAGTTAAGTAGATGATATTGTAAATATATTATAATTGCTTATAAATTCTGTTAAACTGTTAATTTTAGATCATTTTAAATGAAAATTTAATAAATTATTGCTATTTAAAATAATAATGTTTTTAATTAAAAATCTTATTATTAAATCATCTCAATAATCTTTTTAATATAAATGTGTTAAAATTTATATTTGTTATTTATTTTTCTGTTTTCTTAAAATACATCACTAATCATTTATATGTAATGGAGTTTTATAGATGTAATTGTAAGATTTAAATATATTTAACAAAATTTTAATTTAATTGAGGATTATTTATCATCCTTCACTTAAGACTTAGATTGAAAAATGTTTCAGCTAATACTAGATAAATAAAACAATATTATTCATCTATTTTACAGTTTAGCATGATCAGAGGAAAAAGAAATATTGTTTGATATTAAATTTCATGTTTTAATCAATTTAATTGTAAAAAAAATGCATTTTATTTTGTTTTTTTCTCCCTGGGAAAGAAACATTAAAATAGTTTCATACATATATATTTTTTTTAAACTTGAAACATCTAACATCCTTGCAACAGAACAGAAATGCAGTGCCTGATAAATTTATTTAGAATATCATTTCAAGTGGCATCANATATTTAAATTATTATTATTATTATTATTATTTTATTTATTTTCTCCCCCGAGATTTACCGCTTTATTCTTAAAAGTAAAAATTTCATTAGGTTGTCCTATCTCTTTTCATTTTTCCTATTCTATTTTAAAAAATTAATATATATACATATGTTTTATGTATATAAACATGCTAAATTATTATATGTTTATATATTTACACATTTCAAATTTACAACAGAAAAAAATTAGACTTTAAGAGATGTAGTGAAAATTTAATTTTATAAAGTAAATATACTTCATAAAAATGTTTATATTAAATATTTATATCTATATACACAGCTATACATACATGATACATACTCTTATATTTATCAATATTTTTGAAATTAAAATAAGTGTAAATTTTAATCAATATAGAAGGATAGGTTATATTTTTTTTATTAATATAAATCGACAACAGATGGCGACACGAATAAGTATAAAGTCTACTTAGAAGTATTTAGCACGTGGTGAACGAATAAAAAATCATTTTATATTTAATTTTATCCTCATTATTACATAATTGAAACTTTAATATTGAAAAAAAGTAGATGTATATAACAAAACTTTTAAAGGTAATAGCATGGATTTTTTTGGGGGGGAAGTTTTTTAGAAAGTAGAAGATCAAAGCTGTTACCGTTGTGAGAAATTATGTGGGGGTTGGATTTTATACCTCATTTCATCACCTAGTGAAAAACCACCCAGAGGGTGATGGATGTCAGGCATCGGGAGTTACATAAATCCAGCAGAACGTTATGGGAATCCTCGTAAGTCCGACTCGACTAGGATACATTTTCATATTTTATATTTAGTATTTTTATGGAATGCGAGTCATCATTGCCTTTCACTGTCGGGGTGATAAATGCCTTTGGGACGTAAAAATTTCAATTTACTCGCATTAAATGGTATAGAAATAATAATTACAGGTGTTAATTGCGTTGTCGTTCTACGTGTAACAACTTCTAAACGTTTTCTATTAATAAAAAGAATTTATTAAATTTTTATATTAACTTGCAAATTTATATTTAAATTTTCTTTCTAATCTATTATTTATTATTAGAGGTAAATGGAGTTAAAGATTATCACATTTGGGAAAATTCTAATTATATGCTATAAATATTTATTTATTAAATTAACAAACACGTTGTTAATTATTTAACTTAATGAATCTTATATTATTTAAAAGATAAAAAGTGTTAATGATTTTTAACATTAAAGTCGACTAAGAAAGGGATTTTTTAAACTTTATTAAAAGGTTAAAGGTATAATACCGCGAGTTGATCGTTCCCTGATCGTATCTCTAGTGGCCAATTCAACTATAGATCGATACCATTTGCCGACTTCGTCATTATTTGCCACGAAACTCGAGCGAAAATTAGGTTCTTTCTTGATACTCCACCATTTCTATATGAGTAATTTTTACTTAAATACCAGGAAAAAATATATCCAAGCAATATTAAAATAAAAAAATTAAAAAATGCGCTTTGTAAAACGATAAATTTTAACTAAATCGCGCTAGAAAATGAAATTTGTCTGCAGGACGTGCGTGTTATAAGGTGTTGCGTATCTTAAAAAAATTGTCGGATTTTTTTAATATAATAAATCTCAGTTTTTTTTATATGTATTTTTTTAAATGAGCGAAGCAATCGGGCAGGTAAAGTGGCAAATCAATTAAGAGGTCCCACGTTAGACCGTCTACGATTTAAGGTTTTTAAAAAAAATGGCAGTGGAATCTGTCTTAGCGCAAACGTGCAATCTCGTCACGTATCCCTCTACCCGCCCTTTAAGACCTTATAGGAGAAGCAGCTCGAAAGAAACAATACGAAAATCGAATGAAGGCACGTAAATGGAGCTATCTTAATTAAAAACCAATTCCGTGGTGGAGAATAAAGATATTTTCGAAAGAATGTTCTCCTTTGCACCATTCATTCATGCACTACACTCGGAATTAGGCGTAACCCTCTCTCTCTCTCTCTCACTCTCTCTCACTGAACAAAACATTATTAATTGCGCAGTTATTATACTTGTGGACCTGGATTATAATTGATGTGAAACGAATGAGCAATTTCTTGGCTCCATGTCTGCCAAATTTGATCGATCTACTCTTTTCTAAGTAATGAGGCCGTAAAATTTAAAAGTCGCCTCCGTCTTCCAGGACCACACCTTCGTTTCGCCATCGCGACTTTCTTCCAAATGAAAGAACTGGTTTATTCAACGATATAGCTCCGAAATCATTTAAAAAATGTTTTAAATGCATAAATTTTATTAAAATATCGAATTTAAAGTTTTATTCCATGAATATATTTAATGGGCCGTTCGATAATCAACCATAGAATTACTTCACTAGAATTGCGAAGGCCTCCGATTAATTATTTAAGAATTTCTAGAGTAAATTATTTCGTACGAGCGACGATTAAAGATTTAGAAATAATTTTAAAATCTATTCTTAATTAATTGCTTAAATGAAAAATTTTCCATTAATTTCGCACCTAGAATTACTTATAATTTTTAAAGATTCGAATTTATTTGACGATAAAATAGGATAAAAACAGGTTAATTTCTCAGTAAATTCAAGAGAAATATTTGGAAAGGAGCTTGAATGGTTATTCTTGGATGACTGGGGAATTCAATAGACCTATAGCAATAAAACAGTTTGAAAACATTCCTCGATTCTTCATTATAAAAAAAAGTTCTCGTAATGTATGATGTTGTACAACATAAATAAAATTTATATCCCTGTTACTAAGTGCTCTTTCTTCTCCGATACGCGCTTTAAAGTAAAAACACTATCAAACGAAAGAAATCAATTAACAAAATATTAAAAATGTTTTCAAATTTCATATCGAGAAAGTGATCCGATTAACCTCGATATCCTTATATAAGCTATGGAAAGCGGTTTATCTATTTTAAACGAGAATCTTCCATATATTCATGAAGTTTCTAATCGGAAATGCTCAAAGTTTTGGGTCCCGGATTGCGATCCGACATCGCAAACTGCACAATAAATGGTTTAGAGGATGTTTTGGAATCTCTGCTATGATCATTACTCGTTTAACAAGTCGAAATTATTATATTCGATTAAAGTTTTCGCACAATTTATTTGCATTGATTCGTTTGAAATTTACAGAAAATCGTGGCTGGTTGCAAAAGATTTTTTTACAGATTATCTTGTAACGTATTTAAAATAATTAAAATACGGCAGTTAGTTTATTTAGAAAATAAACTTGCAAATGTGACGGCTGTAGTAAGTTTTTCTGCCCTTCTTTATCATAAATGGCCAAATGCCACCCATTAAGGGATTTCCCGCCCGTACCCTTAAGCTAAGAAGGAAAGAGAAAGAGAGAAGTTGGATGGGAATGGGCCTCCTCGGTTTCACTTTCCCCTTTCCGACCAAAAGAAAGAAAAAAGAAGAAGAAAGGAAAAACTACACTGCCAGCAAAATCACTCTGCGTATCTTGACGGAGAGGATGTGGATCCGAGCGTGCTGCAAATGGAATATGGGGTTGAAGCGATAGACAGGGTCTTTTAAGGTCAGACGTTGTGTGCGTGCCGTGCGACTGAGTATACATAAGACTTTGAAGATGCTAATACAAAATTTACATTAATGCATCAGACCGCTACTTAGGCAATGCTGCATTACGTTGGTTAAGTTCCCATGGGCCAGACAAACCGCCAGAGACTTGACCGGTCTCGAGCTTTGAAAGTGCGCCGTTGGCGGTACTAATGCGCACCACGTCACTGCCTTATACGGGAGTCCGGCGCGCGGGGGAGGGACGGATTCAGTCCCTATTTCCCAAAGGCTCTTTCCTGTTTTCCTCTTAAATGTAATGTCCGTATCGCTATGTTAATGGAGATAAAATCTATGGCATATTTCAATATTCGGCAGCAGAGATATAACCGTTTGGGAAAATAACGTTTTTCTTCTTGATATCCAATGGTATCGGGAGACCGAGAAACCTATTCTCTCTTCGTTGCTGCGGTTTTTTTTCTTTTCTTTTTTTCTTTTTTTGGGATATATATATATAT